CGTTACTGTCTGGAATGAGAGCTCATGTGTGAAAAAAAGTGACTATTTTGAAGAATAGTAAGAGTTCATATCAACTTAAACCTAAATTCTCACTTTCACAATCGTGAATCAAACAAACTTTGTAAAATGAACGAAATCATTAATTATCAGATCCGAATTTAACGGACTTCGTTGAGATACCGCATCAAAAGAAGACTCAACGAGTTCATAGTACTTTGACCTTTTTCGTCGGTTCAGTGCTTGTTTGACTCGTAGCTCTTGAGACCTAATTAGTGTGCTTTGTTGCTGTTGTATATTCACTTCTGATTAGCGATATATTTCTGAAGAATAATGACGTAAAGCGAATCCAAACCGCATTCTTCTCACAATCACAGCGGTGGAACCGTATATCAGTGCCAAAATATCGAAATATTAAATTGTTCATTACATGCTTACTTTCTGTGAGTTACCAGTGGTAATGCAGAAAAATCAATGGATATAGCTTGTGACCGGAATGACCAGGTTTCAAAGATTCGAAACGCAAATCTCATTTGAGGTTTTGACTTTTCTTGCAGAAAGAATCATGTCCATACTCAATAAGTAGAAAACTAAATGAGTTTGGGATTCTGCTACTTTTTTCTTTTTTGAAATCTGTCGATCTAGAATATATAATTTTTGAATATCTTCTCGAGTGCAATATTGGAGATTCTCAGATTATTGGGAAAGGAATGTATGGCTAAATGTGACAGAGATCATGGATAAATATATACACTCTCGATGAGGGGGTGATACAGAACAAAAATTGACGTTGCTTTCTTCAAAAGTCACAAGTTCTCTCCAATGCTGTTTACAGTTCACTGAGCTATTCTCGCGATAACTTTTCATAATTTTGTGATTTGAGGAGCTTCAGTGAATAGGATTGTTATGAATGTTGAACAGAATTAAAATAGCTACTTCGGAATTAGAGCTTATGGAAAAAATTTGAAATACGGTTTGATAATTTTAGCTTTGAAGAGGTTGAACAATTCTGAAATTCTGAATTCTAAATGTCTAACTTTTCTTATGTCATCTTTTTGAAATTTTTTCGCTCAAGAAATCAGGAACAAGGGATTTATGCATTATCCATTAACTGTACATTTTAAACAAGTGCTTCAGAATCAGTATGTATTGAGTAGTAGCATTTGAAAGAGTGAAAAAGGAGATGAAATGAGGAAGTTCATGTGGGATCTTGAAAGAATTGCTGTCTCTTTAACTATCGATATCGCTCATTTTGACACATTGGAAAGTATTGATGAGTGGATAATTGATGGAACAAAGTCATCAATTGAACACCACACATCAGTTATCCAGGACTGGTCTCTTCAAGTTCTTATTTTCTAGTTCTTTTCCCTAAATACCTTATTTTTACTTATTGTATAGAAATTTAATGTAATCAATTCCTCATCAATCTTAGTGATGTCTTCTTTCTCTCAAATTCAGTTACATCAGTTGGAGAGACATTGCAGTCCGTGGAAAATAAATCATACTGCTAATAACTCCAGGTTGCCTATTGTTTTTAATTCCTAAATTATAACTTCAGTTGTTTAATTAAAAAAAATAAATTTGAACTTTCTAAATTAATTATAAATCTAAACTACAATTTCAGTACACTTATGTGATGTTGTATTGATTTAGCATAAATTTTTTGCTCATAATATACTTCCGGACCAATTAATGAGAATGGCAGAAGTTGATCTGATCTGATCTGATCATTTAAATCAAATTTTGGATTGCATGAAATATTCTTTGTGAATATCTGTTGTTTGCACTTCAAGCTCAGTAGATGTCTGAACATCAAACTTGAGGTTAGGGTTTGATTTTATGTTAGCTTAGTTAATAATTTCATAGCATCATCTTCGTATGTTTAGTAGGAATAAATTATTGCCTTATCGATCCTACTAATTGGCATTTATGTTTTTCATGCTTTACTGCAAACATGTTAATTAAATTTATGACCGAAGCTTCACAATTCTTATGGCTTGCGAATATGCATTACTTTCAACGACGTTTTTTTGCGAATATGCATTACTTTCAACGTAATATTTTTCCCAAATTCGGTGATTCGATGATATTACCATATATTAAGTTGTCGCAAATGATTGCGGTTGATTATACTTTTTGCGTTTTTTTTCTTTGAAATTGGTTTTTTTTTATTTTTTTTTGCGTTTTTCTTTGAAATTGGTGATGAGTTGTAATTAGCTCATTGAATCACTACCTTGCTGATTTGTCTGAATAAAACTATTTCATTGTTGTTGATGCACTTTACTGCTTTGTTGCTTCTGATTAAACATGTGTGCCCTCAAAATTTATATTTGCTAATCGACGAAAGCTGTTGCTTTTGCTCTTCCTCTTTTTTCTGGAAATAATATTCAGATCTCAGTGGATGATGAAATTTACTTAATCTGTTTAACTTTAACATATTCGTTGCTTGTTTAATTTTATTTGATCGAGTTAGAAATAATTTTTATCGCTGTATTTGCTAATTCAGTTTCATAATAATCTGTTATTAATCGATAATATTAGCATAACTCAATCGATAATATCATGCCGCATTTTTTTTATACATCAATTGGAACAGTATTTTTCGAAATAATGATTTTAACATATCAATATAGTAAACAATTTTGGTTTCTATTTGATAGCTATTGCAGCCAATGTCCGAAAACTGATAAATTCAATTTTAGTAAAAATTGGTAAAAGATCTAACAATTAATCTTTTGCGATGACCCATATATAAATTTCATTCTATGCCATTGATTTGTCAGCATTTCCATTTATTTGATTTCTTTTCTCCAGTCGCTCAACAATGCAGTACCAAGTCGGAGAAAAAAATTATTTTATCAATACGATGTCCTCTTTGCACTGGTTATTCTAAACTTTTCCTCTCACTTCATCTTAAAATTGCGGTAACATATAACGAATTTTGCACCGAAAAATAATTCATTTCCTCTTACATAAAAATACGTTATGTACCAAAATGTGCTTTTTGTGCACCCCAAATGCTAATCGTTTAGTTTCGATCAAATAGGAAAATTTTTAAAAAAGTTTCAGAAATCGAAACTAATAACTGACATTCAAAATTCACAGTCGTAATCGTATATGTATATGTACGTGTATATGTGTCCGTGTGTGTGTATCTGTGTGTGTGTGTCGAACTTTAAAACTGGTTCGTGTAATACGCGGCTGTATCGTATCGATCTTCACTGATGCTGAAGAGCTGCTTTCGGCTAAAATATTTAGGGGTAGCACGAATAATAGTTGGCTGTTTATTTGTTAGATACGGTTTAGACGTGGTTTTGCATCCAATTGTTTCCGTAATTAATCACTATTCATTTCAATTCACTGTTTGTCTCATTGATGAGATATTACTGTACAATTCGTGTTATTTATCAAAAACAATCATATTTGATGACTTAATACTTTCCCTTTTTTGACATTTTACAATTCACAAACCTATCTTTTACGTTGCTATCTATATAGTTTGACTGTATTCTGATGTCTCTGATTCGCATATTTCATCTTTAAACTTGGGAAAGAAAATTTGGTATTCCAGCTTGTATATTTACCCAGACTCAACAAGAGGATGGAAAATAAAAAATGAAACCTCTCTCTTTGTAAACTGTGACATATTTACCAGTACCTCATGTTTATAAAAAGAGTTATAGTTTGAATTATACCACAGTCTTGGAAAATTTCGAAAATTTATTCGTCTATCACCCAGTGCAATTCCAAAGTACTGTCATGATGTCATTTTTATCACATTTCTCTTTCCACTCATTTCTGTCATTGCTGTTCCGTGCTGTCTTTCAATTCATCCATATAATCAAAGGTTTTATTCCATTCATCGTAAAACTTAATATATGTTACTATTTTTTACTCTCTTCTATGAATTAATTATAATTTACTTTATCAGTTCAGTTATAGTTTTAATTTATTTTTTAAAATTTAAAAAAGCATATCATATAAGTGTTGACTGAAATTTTTAATTATGTAAAACAATGTCTTTATTGTTAAACTGAATGGTTTTTTTAGTTTAAATAGTTATAACTATTCGGAACTAGTTATAACTATTCGTCAGAAGTAAAATTGCTATGAGACTTCTGAAATTTTTATTTCCAGGTGGAGAGTTGTGTCGGTTTAGGATGCAGAACGTTTCGCGTGCCAATTTTGTATAATAATCAGGGAATACAATGCCAAAAAGAAGTCAAGAGATACAACGCCAAAATTTTGACAGATGGTATTGATTGGCTGGTGGCAATTTTGTCAATTTTTTTTCCTATTTATTGATAGTTTATGATGAATATTTTTTTAGCGAAGGAGAATTATTGCTATAAATCCTGTTAATAAAAATACGGCTATAGCCGTTCAATTCCTATTTATTGATAGCTGAGACACAGAAAAGAAAAAAGCATTTTTATTTTCCCCTAGTAGCTCTGAAGTTGAGTCCGTTAACTAACCGATTTTCGCCGTTCAGTTTTTTTTCTGCAATCAAACTTTGTGAAAGACAGACTAGATTTTTTATTATTTCCCCTTCTTTGTGCTATTTATTTTACTGTTGCTATTATTACCAGCGCTTACTTTATTCATCAAAATTCACCACACGATGTGGCAACTCTCTAACGAGGTATTGGCCAATACGGAATCGAAACATAGTCTATGCACCAAATCACTGTTACATAATTTAGTAAAATCGCGTCGTATTGGAAGTGCAAGCTCCAGTTCCTTGGATCAGCAAAGCAATAGTTCAAGCTTAGAATCCATTGAATCATTTGCTTTAGATTGCAACCAAGCCTTATCTACGTCATGTTCTGAAGATTCTTTCGAAATGTCGAGTACAACTTCAAGACCAACTATTGAAGATCCTTCACAACTATCACTTCAGGGTTTAAACTTGACATCGAGTTTTTTGGGTCCAGGAAATTCGGTGCAGCCATCGAATATATCTTACAATTATCAAGAACGTAAATTTTCTGAATGTAATAGTTCAAACCAGATGTCGAGAGATAGTTTAGAACCATGTAGCTCGCGAGAGAAATCCAGTTCGCTGAAAAATACGGATTTCCTGCCAAAAAGCAATCCACCGAATTTAGCGAACCATTACGTTGACTGTTTCGATGAACCAAATAATATCCAAGAGATCTTTCGGGATGAAGCAACTGTGAATGGTACCGTGAGTCGGGATGGAGCGAGAACCACCGAATCATGGCCTATGCGCCACGGCATCTCAGGTACATGGAAATCCAAAGATTCCATTAAAAGGGATAAAGCTTCTTTACGAGAATACATCGACAAGGAGTTGGATAATTTAGATACATGTTTACCACAGCTGGATTTTAATAAACTGGAAGAAAAATTGAATTGTGCAGCAAAAGAACGAATAGTAACAGAAAGGAAATTGCTTGGTGAACAGGTTAATTTTGGTTTCCTATCTTGGATTCATTTTTCTCAATTGTTTTTAATACTTATTAGCATACCCTCATGATATAAGTTGTAGGATTCATGATGAAATAAATACTGCAACAAACTGTAGACAAGACTCTCATTCTTATACGTGTTAGGAAGTTTAATGAAATAACATAACCCAATTCATTTTATATGAAATTGGAGAGACAGTTCGGATAATTTTAAAAATCCAGATAGTCTTAAGAAATCTTATGGTATTTGAAAAAAGAAAATTCTAAACTAAGCTTATGTTTTATTACTTTTTTATTTTAATACATTTATTTCTGATTGAATTAGAAAAAGTAATGATGCTTGCAAAACTGAGTCAAATTTATCAGTTTTAAAGTTTTTTGATTAACTTTCAACAATTTTATTTGGAATCGTTTCTTTATTGCTCTGTGAATGAGATTTTCATTTTGTTCCTTAATAATTACTGTTAAATTTTGAATTTTCAATTCAATTTCAAATCCAGATAAATTTTTAATGGCAGAAAATATGCGACAATAAAGATTGTTCCTCGTTAAAGATACATTTATTTCAATTATTAATTTTATGACATATGTTTTCGTGACATATATATTTTTTTATTTTCTCCATAATTTTGCTTAACATGTAAAATATAATTTTAACAAAATTTTTTCTAAAAGTTTAAAGAGTTACAGAAGTACAAAACAATCCCATATAACTTAATTTCTTAGTGCCGATAATGTATTTGTAAAATAATTCTGTAGTTTATTTTTTAATGCATCTTTAAGACCACTATTATTTTTCCTTCATGCTTTAATTGTTGAGCTACAGAATTTTACATTGAAAGAATTCTTTTCAGATGTCAGTTTTAGATCCATTAATGATTAATTAGAGAAGATTTAAATAGAATGACAAATAAAAAGCTTTTGTCATCGTTGAAAAGTACTGTTAGGCGACTCCATTATATAACTCTTTGCCTTTTCTCACTGTATTTGAAAGTTTTTATGGTAAATGTGACTGTTGACAGGTGCGTCGGCGTTTAGCACTTCAATTGGATCAATATACAGCAGGACCAGCTCCGCGAGTTTATACGAGGCCATCGAAGTCAAATCTTGGATTTCGCCTGCAGACAGCTATGAATTTGCAGGTGATTTTTACAATTGTCAGCAGAAAAGTATACTTTTGTTAAGTAGGCTGTATTATTTTTGTTATAAATGGCTAAAAAGACGTCTGTTCTTCCCTTTTTTTGCACAAATAAGCTCTAAATAATTTTGCGCATTCTGTTAATAATTTATTCTGCGGTAACAGATCTTTTAAAATTCTTTATAAGGGATTTGTCAGTGAAGATCTATTTCAGTCTTATCTCTTTATATTTTTGCATGTTTATTAGGTCTGCTATATTAATGATCTGAAAGATGAGGAAGGCAACGATGAGGAAAGTTCGGATGATGATTTTTCTGTGCCCAAATCGAAATCTGCGCCGAACCTACGATGTTCTGTTATTGATGGCTCCAGTTTGAACGCTTCTCAGTTACGTCAGGCCGTGTCAGCTATAAGTAAGAATATACATGTTGTTTTCAAATTATAAAGCCAGTTTTTATCTTTCTGTCAAGGAAACTATTTTCGGGTATCTTGAAATTTCATGCATGAAGTCAATTGTGCTTTGCTTCCTGAAATATGGAAGTTGTTTACGTTTGAAGCTCTATATGAACTAACGTCAAAAATACCACTTTTTGAATTGTATCTCTCTTCTGTCAACAATTTCGAATTATACGTATTCTATTTTTTTTTGAAATCTGGCAAAAATTGTTTTTTGCAATCATGTTCAATTTTTCTCATTCAAGAGCTTTTCTTATCGGTTTTTTTTAATGACAGCGTATATTTTAGTTTATCCATGCTTTCAGAAAACTTTATTTGGTTGTTTATCTTTTCTGAAATGCTTAATCAGTGTTTCGACTTCTTCATCTAATCTTTTACTATACTGCAAATTTAGGACAGTAGGCATTAGTATTATATCACAGCGATCTGTAGCCAGGTGGACTGCAAAAGTGATTGGAATAACAGGTCGAGTTCGAATCTAGCACGTAGATTATGTGTTAATGTAGCTCCAAGAAATCAAATTCCTGTGAGCGTGCACAAATACATCTTACAGGGCTAAATTCTTGGTAAACAATCACTGTCTTCGTCGATCATTCGGTGACTATAGCCTCTGAGACACCGAGAATTTGCCACAAAGACACAAGGCTAAATGAATCCTTTATGAAGCACTTAGAACTCGCCATTCCGTGATTCAGGAAGATTAAGTAAACAGTGAATTTTTTCAATCTCGTGAACAGTTTTTTTAATCTCCAACATGTGTGTATCCTTATGGAGTGATCATTTTAGTATATTAAGTACAATTACAAGTTTTTTTGTTGATTATGCAGAAGAAAAACGACAAGTTTTGGAAGAGGAGACGAAAATGATGCTTGCGAAAGCGAAGCAAGCTGCAAGAATGCAGATGGAAATTGAAAAGCTTAACACAAATCGATTTACTACAGCTATTCCTCCAAAGGCTTCTAGGTCTTAATTTAAATCTTCCCTTTTAGAAATAATTTCAGTTTTTTTCGAACTAAATCACATTCATGAGGCACATTTATTTTTTAAAAAAACAATTTTATAAATTCTACTTAAAAGCACATGAATTCGGCTTTCAGGTTGCAGTTATCGAAAATGACACGTCAACAACTCATCGAAATAAGTGAAAAAATTAGCAAACGTATTAGTGGTACTTTTTTTAATTTGTTGCCATGAAAAGGAGTGCCATAATAGTGATGATAGCAATGCAAATTCGTTGAATTATCTGAAGGAATGAGATGTCTATGAGAAAGGATGATTACTATTTTTTATCGTTCAAAAAAAAAGGTCATGAAAAATTCCTTAGAGAATACTTAACGAGCTAATCTTTGAAGATTATTGTTGACGATAAAATTCCCGATTTGAGCGATTAGCTCAGATGTATTTGTTTTGTAACTTCAACAAAATGACGCTAGTAATTTGTTCAAAACGATTATTTATTGTTTTATCTTTGTGTTTATAGAAGTTACAAAAAGATTTTATGTGTTTATAGAAGAGAATGCGGAATTAATGAGGCTACTAGTTGAAAAAGATTCGCTGTATATGCAACAAGATTCGATGCTTGTCGATATCGAAGACATGATACAGTAAGTCTCGAAATGATTCAGCAAGATGCCCTTCATGATATTGGTAATTTATGTTAAAGTGTACCTTTTTGTGGTGGTATTATAAATTATCTTTTAAATGTGAACAAGAAGTTGTTTATTCAATGACGATAGGGCAAACTTTACCAGGAACTTAACAATTTTTAGTTATTATTATTGTCATCTTTCCTCCCAGTAGTTGGCAATAAATTATCTTCCAGTTAATGACTATCAATTTCTGAATCATTTTTGAAAATAGATATTATTTCATTTGTAGAAACGGAATTTTGAGTGCAAATTTCGTGAAAAATTATTTCTTTTTTTGAAAGAGTTTGATTGAGAAATATAGATTAATTGCACAAGACTGAAGAATCATCTTTGTTTCTTTTCACCACAGTTGCATTATGTTCTTTTGACAGGTTTATTGTTTATAGCATTCTTATGATTTTATGTTTCTAAATCATATTCATTAGAAAAACTTATGCTTAATCTTACTTGGCTTGAAGCTATATTAAGATAGCACTAGAAATGTTCTTATATCGAACGTATACAATGTTTTTGAGGGCATTCTTGCTTTAACGTTTTGTTGATAATTTTTGTCTCTCATTCTTTTAAATTTTGTCAAATTATTTCGATCTCCTTTTGCGATTTTATCAGTTCTGGATGAGCTACGTTTCAGGCATGAGAGCAATTCGGAATCGTTGAATTTGCCCGAGTTTTTGAAGGTACAAGCAACCCCATCTGTAACCATGTCTAAATTTCGTATTTTCAATGGCTGATTTTTTTATTCGTCTATCTCTTCAGTTGTCGTGATGGTGATCTTATCAAGAATCAATACTCATAAGGGAGTAAGGATCATATTATTCAATGTCGTTCAGTGTGAGCTAAAATCAAGAATAATTCTATGCAAACATTGAGATATTAAGTGAAAAATACTGTTTCTAATCGTCTAATGCATTCATTTTAACTTTGCTATTAACCTTATTTAATGTTCATATCAGTGCCAGCGCTTTTCATTTAGCTTCCTGCTTACTTCCAATTTTGCATATTTTATGTACTATTTAAATATCATTGTTTTCTTTCATTCATTTAAGTAAAAAGCGTAGAAAGACGCTGAAATGTTAGAAGTATGTTAGGAATTAAATTTGATAGCAATGTCATTTTCTATGTAGCCTTCAATATATACACTATCATCAACTTTGTAACAATATATACACTATCATCAAATTTCTGGTTCCCGAAAGGAATGGAAGGAATGAGGAAGGGAAAATTTTCATTTGCGACATTATTACATTAACAAAAATTTATCCTATTTACTTTTAGAATATTTGATGAGAAGAGAGTAAATTTGGTAGCTGCTAAGCACAAAGTTTCTGTGGTCTAATGAACTTTCCGCTTATTATTTTTTTCAATCAAATCTGAAAAATGAGGGTATAAAATTGGTTACAATTCGAAGGACATTATTCTCTTTTCTTACTCTCGGTGCTAACTAACTTCTGTACTGAATTAATCTTAAATCGTTGATCTGCAGTAGTGGCATTTAATTTGAATTTATTGGAATGTCTTAATAATCGATAATTTATAATTTGTTATTGTTTCTTGTTCCATACTATTAAATAGAATAGGACTTGTAACGGATAGATGTTCCTTTAAGGATGTGGCAGTTTAAATATCCCTTGACTACAGATAGCTTTATTATATGTTTTTCCATCTCTGATCAATACGATAGTTTTGACGTCCCGTTCCTGTATCATTGAATTTTCATTTATTAGTAGCTCTATATATCGTTCCCTTAACAGCTTCCAAAATCCTTATTAAAGGAAGTGGTAACTGAGATGAATATAAGAATTTTTGCAGTAGGCGGGATCCCGATATTCTTTCTTTTTATTTTGTAAAGTTACTGATATTCGAAGTGTGAAATATTTTAAAGGCATTAAATATTTTAAAGACATTTTTCTTGTTATGGAAAATAGTTGTATTTCAAGTTTTCCGCATGTAGCAATAAATTTTTCAACCCTAGTATTGCGGAGTGATTTAACGAGTAAAAATTACTGATCACAGTTTATCGTTGTTTCATTTATTTCTATAACTTTCATTTGTATCAAAGTATATTAGCTCAACAGTTCGCGAGTCTTGAAAATTTTGTCGATACTGAACTGCAAATACATTTGATTGGCTCAAAAACATGATAACTGCTGGAAAAATCTGAACTACATTATCGGTCAGCTGTTGAATTCCCAGTGCCAGTGGGATCGCCAAGCTTTGGATACACTTGTGGACAAGTACCACATATTCGAAGAATTCTGGTTTCGCCGTTGCAAGTGAATGAACAACTGGATGGCGTCTAAACCAGCATCCAATCATGTGATTAAATTTTTTAAGCCGCTTGAAAATTCGAAGAAGTGACGACGCTAACATATCCTACTCGATTGTTAAATGCTTACAAAACAGCATTTAAATATGTTATGCTATTTATTCATTATAGATATTTTTGGCCTATCAAGTAATGATAATGGTAGGTCTTTTACAGTATCGTGAATTCTCAGGATTTTATCAGAAAAAAAACTATGATATTTTGTCTTTTGATGTGCATCTACTACTTTCCTAATTAAATGTCACTTTGCCAGTCTAACTTTTTTCTGAATGCAGAATATAGAAAAGTATTTTTCGAACAATATGCATCTCTTACTATTCATGTTTGATAAGCCTTACCTCACAGGTAGTAATGTTACTCTTAGACGGTACATTGCATTGCCATGGTTCAAAACTATGAATGTGTAGTAAACGTGTTGGTCGTCTAATCCATTCCAGTGCTTGCGTGATTGTTACAAAATATACGTCGGAATTCTTTAATATCTGGAAAAAATATTGAAGGTTAGCATAGTTAGGAATGCTAAATAAAATCTATAATAAAACTAATTGAGAAATGTTGAAAGAAGGAAAACGTATCTAGCATTAATTTATTGTTTATTATTTGTTGTTTTTTATGGGAATATATGTTGAGTATATTAATAAAGCAATTCTAATTGAAAGGAATTGAAATGCAATTAAAACTATTTCAAATATTTTAGCGTGTTTGTCATATGTATCTAAAATATTCCAAATAGTTTTAATTACGTCATCTATATATCTCTATCTTCTTGAATTCTTTCTCGATATTTTTCTCAATTCTTTCTCGTTATTCTCGATATTTTTGTCGCTTGATAGCGTCGTGAATACTTTTTTTGTCACTTTCTTGATAGCATTTCTAGTCTTTTTTCCTTCATATATCCGCTAATTTAATGTTATGAGAATGTATTTTCATGCAATTTCATCATCTCTAATGATGAAATAAAAAATTCTTTCTAGCAATGCTATATATTCAATAACAGTTTAATTCAAACTTCAAACTGAAACCGCAAAAATAAAAAAGCATTTAAAATTACTTTTTCGATAAACAGTTTGAATGCAATGATTGCGCCTTCATTTGGTAATGAATTGAGAAAATCATTATCAGCAGTTAACAAATACGGAGCTCTGTTGTAATTGTATGAACGATTAAAATTCATTTCCAATATTTCCGCGATATCCAAAGGTGAATCATTGTGCTACAAAATACAAAAATCTGAAATTTAAGCATGCCAAAAAACTATGCGTATATTTTTAATTTTATTTGCTGTTTTTTTTTGCTTCAACTATTGAGACTTTATTAACAAAGAAATGTAAAGAATTCATTTTAACTTAATAGTTTGATTTATTATTTCAATATCCATTTAATTGATTAAATTTTCACATGAAAAACATCTGATTCATGATTTAATTCATTTTAGTTTTGTTAACAAATTTTGCAAACATCAACTGGTCATAGAAAATTTTTATTGAAAGATATCTCATAAAGGAAATTTGAAAAAAATGATTTCAAATTATAATTTTACTGTACTCTTTTCTATCAATATACTCTTTTCTATCGATATACTCTGGTTGAATATTATTACCATTTCATTTTGTCATTGGAATAAAAGCCTGAATTAAAAAAAAAATCAATGACTAATGAGAAACATGCGCGGATAGCTTCTTTAAGCATAGTGAATTCTTTTTGTGAGCCTGGTACAATGAAACGATTTATTGGTATTTCCCAAATATTTGGGTGTTCACTTTTGGGACAATAAACTGATGAACATTTCCAGGCTGTATTATATGCTAATGTTTGTGGCCAATATGGTCCACCACTTGCACTCATTGTATTATCATAAATGAAACCAAATTTTTCCATCATAGCAAATTGATTATCTCCTAAAAATTTCCCTTATAAACTTTTAAAATAATTATTGATAAAAAAAAGAAATGGATAATTTTACTCTATTTTTAAAAGTTAGCGTAAGCCTTTAATATGTTCATCAAAATAGTTTTATGACAATTTAATCAATAAAGTGGTTTAACACCCAATTATAATTAATTCCTAATATTTACTTCCATCCATTACTTACCTCCTAATTCGAGTTGCGGCGCTCGTACACCAATAATATCTGTTGCGCTTGCATAGCTAAAATGTCGCAGTGCATCACGCATCCCAACCATTTCTTTCTTCCAACGTTCCACTGTTTCATCACCCAAACTTTGATGTCTAAATTAAAACATAAATATATATTTTACATATTTTTACACTTTTTTCGAGATTTTGAAGGATAAATAGGGTTAAAAAACAGATACACAAAAAAGAAAGTGAAAAAAAAATTGAAAGTAGCTGAAAAAAAAAAACAATTCTGTAACATTTGCTATCCAAGAGTGCTAACAATATTTGTATACTTATCAATTAACTAATTAACCAATTAACTATTTAATCAAAATTCAAAATTAAATTTTTTCTGTCAAATTTTTGCTTTCATAATATCGATTATATTTTATAATTTCTGTTTTAAATTTTAAACTATGAATTTGATCAAAGCTTACGTAATTGAATTCACAGCAATTTCATGACCATTTTTTATCAACCATTGTGTTTGATCATAGTTATTCCACTCAGCCGATATAAAAAATGTGCCTTTTATGGGACAGCCATTCGGATTTCTGAAAATATTACAATAAATATCAAATTACATTTATGAAACAATTGCAAAAAAAAGATAAATGCATAAAGTTGCAGATTTAGAATTTTACTTTTACTTGAAAAAATATAAATTTGAATACCGATAGTTCCCATTGAATAATAATTTGTATATGCGGAATGTTTGATCAGTTACTGGACCATCGAATGTCAGAAGAATTATTTGTGGTACATCTCTTGCCAACAATCCACCCGGAATCTCCAATCCCGACCTCGAAATAAAATAATGCATTATTTATGAATTCAGATTGCATGCTTTTTAAACATTAATTTTATTATTTCATCATAGACTTTTGCATTTAATTCTCTCTTCTCTATTTTCTTTTTTCATTCCCTTCCATAAAAGAATTCTATTTCCGTATTTCGTTTTCCGTTGATCAGAAATCATTTTCCCGTAAAATTCTGCATCACGACTGTTTGATTAAATTTTTTGTACACTGTTATTTAACTAAATTAATACACTTTTTTGTAATCCTTACCACTGATAGCTCTTATTGTACTATACCGTTTTTACGAGAAACATTAGATTACAGTCTTATGATCTACTGATTCTTAACTAAATGTATATATGCACATACGATTTACCTTGAACAGAAGCAGTTAGGTAGAAGACATGAAGCAGTTATCGGACAATCTTTTAGTGATCGCCATTTGGAAATGAATTTTGGAGTAGTTACCATCGTTTTTCGTAAATATCCCGTTTGGCCTATCAATAAAGGTATCGATTGCAAATTTTATCACTTATTGCTGCTACTGTACTCACAGAATATGTACATTTCCCCATCACAAAAAATGATCCATCAATCAGACAATATTATTATAATACAGATGATAAGAGATGTTATTATTCGGTAAATAAATGAAAAGGTTAGAAAATGGATATACGGTAAAAGTTCACTTCAAGACAAAAATAAATAAATTCGAACTGAAATTGGCAAATTTCTTAGATAATGCACACAGTGTGATATAAAAATTTCAATTACTCTGCGGCATTTTCATTCCATCAAAAAAGGATGTGTTTACATGCTAATTAGATACAGTGAATAAATTAAAAATAATCATGCAAAATATGCAAACAGAATTTTAGTGGTCATACAGGTCATTACAGGTACTGAAAACTGTAGTTGCAAACAATTCCAGAATCAATATCACAGCAGAGATCAGAAAGGTAGTGAAAGTTACGGAATATTTTGGATCACATGCATAAATATATGATATGAAAATAGTCTTATAGTAAACATTACTGTAAAATTCAGTGCAAGTTTTACATCAATACTTTTTGAAAATCAAACAATTTCCAATATATCAACCTCAAAAAGTGAAAAAAATTGTTATTTTCAAATTTCCTTTTATCACTGTTTTAAACACATTTTCTCACTATATCTACAAATTAAACTTAAGTTCATCGTTTCTAAATATGTTAATGCATTTATTTTTGTTTACTTACTGATTCCTTGTTTGTCGTGTTTGAATATTAAAGTTAGCTTACAATTGGTGTTTCTGGTACACTTCGTTTATGTCTGAATTATTAGGAAGTTGTTAGAAATTACTTGAAAATTTCATACATTTAATGTGAAATATCAATTTCAGACGAAAATTAACAACAAGAAAATTTTGCTTAAATGTTAACTAAGTTTTTTAAACTGAATTTATATTTTCGACACATTTTTAAATTAACTAAA